GCTTAGTACACCCCACGTTGAGTCTCTTCCTTCCAATGGTGCTTGGGATCTATGATCGATATGTTGACAAAAATCCATTCAATAGCTTAATCTTGATCAAGCCTCTTAGCTTGATTTTAGAGCAATGAGAGATGAATAAGAAGAGAGAGGGAGAGATCTACTAGTAAGGGATTCCACCCTTTGCTACTCACAAAAAAAACATCACTTAGGCTTAGGCATGCTACCGAAAGAGAATTCCCCAAAGAGAAAATACATCTAATGACTATTTGGAGAGAGAGATAAAATTGGGGTGTGCCTCCCTTTTATAATCTCAGACCCTTTCCAGAGAGAACTAAATTTTGGGTAGGGAGAGAGAGAATTGTTAAAGAGAGAGAAGAGTTATGTATCTCATTTTATGAGGGAACACCTCATTTTATACATTTTCTATGCCATAGATTTTGCCTCAATTCATAAGGTCAAATTTCAACCGTTGATCTAAGGAGACTTGTGGGGTGAGAGATTTGAGCCATCAATCTCTTTGATCCACCATCAAGATTCAAAAATATGAGCTAGAGTCTTATCCTCCCTTTCCTAAATCTATTTATAAATCCAAATGACAGAAAGTAAAATATCATAAGATTCACAAAAATTAAAATAAATATTCTAAAAATCACATAACATAAAATTAATTACAATTAATTAATTTTGATGGGAATCAAATTCGTTTGATCTAGGAAATTATCAATATATGGGAGCACTCCACCTTTAACTGCAAATCACGATTCGCTGTGCTTTCTCAAACTGACTCAGCAGTTCTCATGACCCACAGTCCACTGCAGGGGTTTATGATTGGACCACCAAAGTCAGCCAATAGACTAGGGGACACAATCCTAGTTTATATAGATTTCAGATTCTCCCCTAGAGACAAAAATCATGGTCCTTCAAACCATGATGCTATGGTGCATAGGGGTAATCTCTGGCACATGTACACGCTTCATCCTCATTGGTGAATCTCAAATGGCTATCTATGTACATGTCATATAATGATATAACGATGAAGTTTTAACCATGTCTCTAAAGGCTATTCATCACACGTAAGGGCCACATAGTCCCTTGGCTCTCATCTGGACATACTCCGACCTCATCAAGGGATAACCCACTAAACCCTTCTCAGTAGATCCTTATGCCCAGGTATCTTGGGTTTTTCCAAACCTCAGCTGGCCTAGCTCGTCGAGCCTCATCCGAGTATCAGCAAATAACATTTGCCTAGTATGGTCCACAAAAGGACAACACTCCCACTAAGTTTATGTTCTACTATATAACGATGAGGTTTTAGCCCTGTCTCTAAAGGCTATACATCATCAGCAAGGGCCATTTAGTCCATTAGCTCTCATCCGGGTATATTCCGACTTCATCAAGGGATAACCCAGTAAACCCTTCTCGGTAGATCCCTATGCTTAGGTATCTTGGTTTTCCAAACCTCAGCTGTTCTAGCTCGCCGAGTCTCGTCCGAGTATCAGCAAATAACATTTGCCTAGTATGGTCCATAAAAGGACAACACTCCCATTGAATTTATGTTCTACTATATAAAATGCTCATATAAGCTCTCATAAGGCTTTTAAAGGCCACATAAACCCAACACATATGTCTTAAGCTCATATATGAGTAGACACACGCATTTAAAATCTCAATATATAAGTATCGGTTTTTTCAAGTTTATAACTTATGTGACACGTTTAAGCCTTCCAGTCTTTAAACTCATATAATACACCAAGATATTCTATCAATAACGACTCACAAGATATCATAAAAACCAAAATGGTTTTTCTTTAATAAATGAATTCTCAATATATTAAAATCATGCTCAAAGGTAGAGAGAAGTCGTACCTTATGGTTTTAAAAAGACCAAATCATAATATGACAATCCCTTTGTCTTCGATCTGTGATTTGGTTTCATCCTTTCTTACTCTCTTTTGTAACTGTGCTCATTATCTTATCCATCCACATGTGTCTTTAGTCTTATTGTCATTTCATCAAACACGATTCGAGAGTAGCCAGGATCTAGACTAAGACTTAGGTATTAAAACTCATACTCACGATTCAATTGGGTTTATATAACCCTCCTACTGATCTAAAACAAACCTAAGAACTCACAAGCACTTTCAACAATTTATACTTCATAGTGAGATACAAAAATGTAAAGTACCTCTACCCTTCTTACACATTAGATATAGCAAATACTGTTTCTCTAGGCTTTCAAGATGAGCACAGTTCATTTCTATGGACATAACTTTAAATCTATACATCATTTAATCATGGGAATTATTCTCAGATAAAATACATTCAAAATGAGACAACTTTAATTTAAAAATCATTACATAATAATAGACTGGAATGGATCAAGCAACATGATTCTCAGAGGGTCAATTTCTACTTTGTGTAGCAGAAATTACATTATGACATCGTTGTAGCAAAACGACCAATAACATTCCAAATATGGGGAATTTTCCTATGAGCCCAAAAGTACATTTAAACTAGACTAAAAAGTAAAAAATAATTCTAACTCAATTCTATAAGTTTTGATTGATTAGAACCCCCACAAAAAAAGGTATAAATTTCCTTAAAATGTATTTCTAAGATTTGGCACATTTTTATAAACATTCAATAACTTCCAAGATATACTTAATATGGTCACAATACCTTTTTCATATGAAAATACGCTCGATAACACACAATACTATCAAATATTATTCTCTTAAATAAAGTATTGAATGCCCCACCAATCTCTCACAAACATACAACAGTTCTGAAAAATATTCATTTATAGTTCTCATGCCAATGACTCTATCAATTCTTAAAATCAAAGCACATGCATTATGACAATCATGATCAAGCGTTTATGTAATTTGAAAACTATATTATACACAATATAAGAGGACTAAGGGACCATATTAGACCCCTGCTATGATAGCATTTGTTGATGGAATAAGACCAATGAGCTAGAAATGCGATCTTTTTAAAAAAAATTATTGTATTAAAACTTAAGGGTTTGAATGCATGAATATCTCAATACAAAGCCACACATATTCCAATCTACAAACATGATTTATATACATTTGAATAATAAAAATTAAACTCAATAGGTCCCTTACAAACCTCTTACTCAAAAATACAATTAAATTTAATACAATATCAAAATACTTACAACGTACATCTCTACAACATATTACATGACTTGTACTCACAATTCCTCATTGTATCAAAATTATATGATAATTTCATCTTCATTCTTCATCATCATCATATATCACAGTGTCTCATACATATTATATACTTGGTCATAATAATCCAATGAGACTCAATTCATGTAAACAATATAACATCACACTAAAGCTCATACTGCATGATTATAAAAACAATCTAAATATTCACATAATATACTCAATTTAGTCCATCATAAATTACTTAATAACTATAAATACATCAAATTAACATGCAAACATACATGAGGGAAGCTATGGTTTGAACCCCTTGCGCCTGGGCCACGAAATGGCCTTTTGGGGACTTAATTTTGTCCCAATGTCTAAGGTACGGGTGATAATAATAACTAAAGGAGATTAATCCAATGGAAAGCAAATGATGACTCTTTTTCACTTAATGTGGATCAAATCATGAGTGAGATATGTATCAAAATAGTCCTTCAAAGTTTGAGAGATATACTACATAAAATAAAAAGGTTTTAGTAAAACTACACGAAGTTGTCTATAAGGGAACACACAAACTTTTCAACATTAAAAAAAGAGCTCAATGAATTATCAGTTGTATATTCTCAAGAAAAATTTCAAAAAAATAAGATAAAAAAAATCAAGGTAAAACTACACAAGATCATGAAGTAAGCAAACTAGTACACACACATACCATGTGTGTAGATTACACTATTGCTTTGAGGCTATTCAAATATCAAGTTTTCATGACCAAAAATGAAAAAACCTATTGTAAATGAAGAACTACAACAATCTTTGATATTGTAAATGAGGTAGGAATTGAAATATAAGATGAAAAATAAATACCTTGGTGAAGCAACAGTATGGGTTTGATCACACATATGATGGACTACTGCATAAAAGGGTTTCAACTAAAAGCTCAAGGAAGAAGATAGTCTCATGAGTGACAACATTTTTGTCAAAGGGTTCTCTCTCTCTCTCTCTCTCTCTCTTTCTCTCTCTCTCTCTTTGAAGGGAATACTCAAGTTAGGGTTATAATAGATCCTATAAGTTACTTTTATGCTTATATCACAAAGGAGAATTTTATCTTGTTCTTTGATGCCTTAGATCAATGGCATATGAGAGGATTTTATCGAAGTCACTCATCCATATTTTATCACCAAGGCCAATTGATGAGTTTTTTACACCTTTCACTCCTTAAAACCTATGTTTATAGTTATTTTACTTTAAATCCCTTAGCTTTATGTTTTATTTCTCATTAAGTCCAAATTCACTCATTAGATTTCATCTTCCAAGAATTGGATGGTTTCTATTCAATCTCAAGATGTTAATTTACTCTAGTACATGCTATATGTAATTTGAGTTTGATATTTTCTTTTTAAGGTTAATTGCTAGGTTGAAGAATTTTTGTCTCAAAGACTTTGGAGGGTGTTTGTTTGGAAGCCAAACCTTTCATATTTTTGGATGCTTAGTGGTGCATGGAAAGGGTGGCTTCCATTTCTTCTCTCATTTTTTGTGGTTGTTCCAAAATTGGGGAAAAAATAGAGGCACCTTCTATTGTTCCCCATGGAGCCCAAAAGTTTGGAAAGTTTGGCTTCTGAAGCCGAATCTCCCACCAAACAAACACATCCTTGGAGTCATAGAAGAACTCTGAAATAGGTTTTAGTTGCGGGAACAATACAACTATATTCAGAGAATATTTTGGTATTTATTAATGTAAATGCTTGTGTTTTTTCTATTTTATTTTGTTACAGGGAACAATACATCCTAACTTGTATGAATTTCTTATATTTACAGAAGGAATTTTGTTTTATGCGAGCTGGACTGCATTTCTACGACATGCGGTGCCAAGGTATAAAGCATCCATCTTAAAGATGGATGCATATAGATGGTTCATCTAAAAACAATTGGAATTAACGATCCAAATGTTTTCTTAATAGAATCATTATTTCTAATTGTCAAAATGTATTTATTTTTTCATAATCATGTTAGAGATTACTTGTCTTTAAAATTAAGTCCAAAAGTCCATCCCAAAAATAGGTTTTTAAGAGGTGATTTATTTCTACATGGACTCATAGAAACCGTGTCCAAATCATGTGTCAATCTTATATTATGGAAGCAAGTTGCACCTCAAAAATCCTCTCAAAGAAAGTGTTCTGGTGGAAATTTCTCTAACCCTCATCTTGACTTGAGATCTTACGAAGAAAAATAGAATTTTGAGTCCTAAAAAATAATACACCTTGTAGCAAGTCATATGAACCATCTATTTTCAAGATTATATCAAATATTTATAGTTTTGCTCGATTAGTACTAACTTTAGAATTTTAAATTTAATAATTTGAGATGAAAATATATTTTCAAGTTATCATAAAATTTGTAATACTAAAACTATATATCCATGCAAAGTTTAAAAGCACGACTTTACTTCTACCATATAAGGTCAGCACCTTATTAGCAACCTCTCCCAATATAGATTAGTTAATAGGATAGTTAGATAAAATAATTAAAATAAAATATTATAAAATTAATTATCATCCAGACATATTCTAAGAGGAGGGAAACTTCAGGTAGGATACCTCTCTCATTTGTATCCAGCTCTCATTCATTTCTCTCTCTATTAGAGAAAATACAATAAATTATTGGGCCCATTTAGTTAAGAAATTTTTTTTTTCAAGATATTCTTCCCTAAAAATGGGGCATCCTCAATTATTTCTATGATTGGCGCCCAAATTGGGAGAAATCTTTTTGCCATCCCCTTTTTACTTCATTTTTGTGAAAGAAAATCTTTCAACTAAAAGTGCTGGTTTGTTTTAAGTTGCAATCTTTTTAATAAAAGTAAGATTTTTGCCACCAGGCTTGAAAGTATGGGTCGACTCTTCAAGTGCCCGACACTTTGGATATGTCACAGGGCTCCAGAATATGGGTCAACACTCAAAGTACCAAACCAACTGAAGCTTAGATAGTCGGCACATAGATTGCTTATGTGTACTCTGGATTTGCCATGGTGGATAAGAGCATCCGGGATTGAAATATAGAAAGAAAATGAGTGGCCTCATGTACGAAAAAAATAGGAAGTCATTGGGGTTGGAAGTTGGGACATGAGCTTAGCTGATTCGGTTCATAGCATGCCGACCAACACTTTGCAACCATGTAGTAAATCCAGAATGTGGGAGGCATTCCAAGTGCCAAGGTCCTCTAAGAAAAAAAAATCCAAATCTTCTAAAACCTCATTCATATCCCTTTTCATCACAGTTTGCAATTTTGTGGCCAGAGTAGTTGTCACAGTAGTGTTAAGTTTATAAAGAGCCTCACGGTTAACTCAGACCCATTAATGATTATAGATGGTAGGGACAAGCTTTTTAACCACCAAGATTGTAAGAGAAGTGCGATGGCTTTGCCACCATTCAACCATCATGGTTCTACTCAAACCGTGACGTACTAAATGAACTGAAACTATCACTGGTAGTATTTGTGTTGTGATAGAGTATCACAGTTGTGCTGCTACCGTGATGCTTGCACTTAAGAATCACGTTTGAGTTAGAACTGTGAAGCATAACACAGATCGCGGTTGTGCTAGTGCCCACAGTTCTTTTAGAATCCTTAAGGTCTTCATCATTCTCTTACACCTTTAAGATGATATAATTAATTTAAAAAAACCCACATAACAGGTACCGCATAAGTTTAAGATGATATGAAGAATGCCCCAACATACAAGGCATCAAAGTTGACCTAGGACCATGGGCTTGCAATCACGGTTCACTTTGAACTGTGATATCCCCAAAGAGGCAACACATGTGTAAGTACTATTTATGCAATTCATCTTCAGTTAAGAATGGTGGTTCACTTAGAACTATGAAGATATAAAATACCCCCCATAAATTATCTAAAACCATCATGATTTTGACTTAGTCCTGATGACTTTCATGGGTCTAACACTTCTGTAAAGGGTATTTTGGTTACAAAAACCCAAATAGTGAAAAAAGGGCATAAGTAAGGTTTTCGAAGATTTCAATTTTTTTTCTAATACGAAAAAAAAGAGAGGATATGTTTTATAATTTCCTATGTAAAAACTAGGGCACAAATTTTAAATACTACAAAAAGGAGATATTAAAAACAAATCTTTTTATTTTTACCAAAATACATATATTAATCGTCAAAAGAAAAACAGATTAATAGCATAGGATGTAGTTTGCATAAGGTGTCAACATTAAATAATCAAATTAGAGCACACATCCAATTGTTGTTGAATGATATAATTGTAGTATTGGAAAGTTTTATAAGGGTGTGGTTTGTATTGGACCGAGGCTCTAAACAATCAAGATAAAGTTCACCTTCAAATAGTGTTGAAAGATGTTTTAATATTGAAAATATTTGTTGTGGCTTGAAATTTTATTTTCATCTCTAATTATAAATTTTAAAACTTCAAAAGAAGTGTAGATATATAAACATTTGAAAATCTTGAAAATTGACTGTCCGAAAATGCAGTACAAGATGCAATATTTCTGGGAATTGAAATCTATTTTTTTTTCCTGTCCATACATCTTGAGGTCGAGATGATCAATTTGAGGATTTTGGGCTGCAAAACAACCTATTTTACTGACTCTTTGAGGTGCACCTTAAACTGATTGTTTAGAGTTGCTGCTTTATATAAACTTTTTTCATTTTTTTTATAATGGATTGACAATCTATTTTCAGGCCTAGTTATGAAATTCAAAGCTCAAAAAATAGTGCAATTCTATTAGTGCTTTAAATCTTAAAAATCAATAATTTAGTTATTATGCTAAAAGATGTATCATTTTTTGCAAGTGAAATCTTCTTTTACTTAGAACCATATTTTGGAAGGTCAAAATGATCAATTGGAGGGTTCTCTAGTATAGGAACAACCTTTTTATATGAGTTTTTGAGTTGCGCCTTAGTTCTACAGTGGAAAGCGGATGCCTTAAAGAGAATATTTCACCAAGAAGAAAAGCCCAACTTAAAAAACATCCTAAATACTAAAAAAAGAGCTTGTATAACGTGTCACCTAAAAAATCCAACCTGAAAGGTTATTCCCGCATAAAAAAACCCCTATAGTTGAACATATCGACCTTAAAATATATAGATTATTACAAAACTATTTTTAAGCTCTATGGTAAGTGCATCTTATAACATATTATGTAGACTGTCAATTTTCAAAATTTCAAATATTTATAGATCTGTTTTGAACCACATTAATTTTTGAGATATAAATTTCATAAGCTCGTCTTAAAATAATATTTTAGGCCCTTTTAAAATTTTGGCACAAAAAATTTATCATTTAACAAGATTTTAGAGGTATGCCTGATTATTTATAAAAGAAAATGACTTGATATGCCTATCAAAATAAGCAAAGCCTCACCTCATAACCCATCCAAAACCTGTACATTGATAATCTTGGCTTAAAACACCATGGTTGTAAAAAACAAAATAAAATTTCAAGCTCTAAAACTAGTATATATTGTAATAAATTATCCAGAATTGTTCATTTCACCTTAAAAGTGGGGATTATATACAATAAGAACATTTACCTTTGGTATAAAGAGAGCGCAATTACTTACAACCATCCTATGTGAAATATGCTATCTTGGATGTGTTTCAAAGTTCAAAAAAAATTCTTTTGAACTTTGAGCTTAGGCAATGAAATAAATGCAACCACCCAATGGCCAAAGATTAATAGTGTCAACATTGTACCAAAGATAAATAGTCTTATTATATATTTTCCTTTAAAAGTGAGTGGTCATAGATCTATATCGTTATTTGAGTTTCGAATTTTATTGTGGGTGTCGAAAATGATTTTAGAGCTATCATATAAATTCTTGTTACCAAAAGTATTTCGTGTACAATTTGAAGTGATGATTTATTTTGTTTTTGTAAGGGAATGGGTGCGGTGTGCATAGAGCCGAATCTCTAAATAATCAAAATAAAGCAAACCCTCAAATAGAGTCGATAAATGTGATTTTGATATTAGAAATTTTTGTGATAGTATTAAATATATTTTAATCTTTAATTATAAAATTTAAATATTTAAAGATAGTGTAAATGGATCAGAACTATAAAAGCTTGAAAATATTAAAAATTGACGGTCTAAAAATACATTACAAGATTTATTATTTTTAAATTTTAAATTCATTTTTTTTCTCATATCTATATAACTTGATGTCGAGATGATCAATTTGAAGATATTTAAAAGTCAAAACCTCTTCTAATTAAATTTTTGAGGTGGGCTCTAATTTGATCGTTTAGAGCCTGGGATCTACATGCACTTTTTCCTTTATGAATAATGCTGACACTAAGTAGTGAGAGGGGACAGATTCTCACTCGGAACTCTGAGCACCACGACTCATTCCCTGTCCACGTGTCTAAGCCCTTACTCTCTTGCTCTCTCTAAGTAACTTCCCCTCTCTCTCTTGATTTCCCTTCTTTCCTACGATTAATACTGTGAGATGAAATCAGAAATTAGAACCTCGAGAATTGGTCATCATCTCTATCCAGGCGTGGGCTTGCCAAGTCATGGCCACTCCCACTCCCATTGTTTCCTGCAACTCCTCGCCCCCAACCTTTCTCTGTTCTCTCTCTTCAAAGGCTTTGCACTGCTTCTTCCTCTGTTGTTCAGGGAAGAACCGATTCAGATACGGTGAGCGCAAGGAGAGAGATAGAGAGGCGAATCGAGTGTTGCTGCCAAATGAGAACAGATGGTTGGTTGGAAAGGGCCCTCTCTCTCTTCTAAGGTATGCTCAAATCCTCAATCAAACCCTCTCGCTCCACCTGTAATCTCTTGTTGGGGTCATTCAAAAGACCAGACCAGGCTCTGTCTCTGTATAAAACCATGGCCGGAGCTGGAATTTCACCTAATTTTCAAATGTTGCACACGTTACCCAACTGTTTTTGCGAATTCCAGAGGACCCATTTGGCACTTGGGGTTATCGGTCGCATTCAGAAGCTTGGTTACCCTCTCTCTGTTATCCTGTTGAATATGGTGATGAATGGACTGTCCAAGGAGGGGCAAGTCGTGAGGGCGATAGAGCTCTTCCATGGCATGCAGAATTACAAGCTTTTGCCTAATGTCTTTTCATTTAACACCCTGATCAATGGGCTCTGTAAAGCCCAAAAAGTGGAAGAAGCTATGGCTATGCTTAAAGAAATGGGGAAGAGAGGGTGTCAACCAGACGTCGTGACGTATAATATACTCATGAATGGTCTCTGCAAAGAGGGCAGCACAGAAGAGGCGATGCATTTGTTAGAGAAGATGTATCGCAATGACCTGAACCCCAATGTCTTTGCATTTAACGCTCTGATCAATGGGTTTTGCAAAGCTGATAGGGTGGAAGAAGCCTTGGCTTTGTACAAAGGAATGGGGAAGATAGGTTGTCAACCAGATTTTGTCACATATAGCACACTCATTGATGGCCTCTGCAAGGGTGGGAGAATAAAGGAGGCAATGTCTTTCTTGGAGGAGATGTGTCACAATGGCTTGAAAGCAGATGTTGTCACATATTGCACTCTTATGAATGTGCTATGCAAAAAAAATAAGGTGGAAGTAGCCTTGGATTTACTCAAAGAAATGGGGAAGATGGGATGTCAACCAAATGTTGTCACATATAGCACTCTCATCGCCCTTCTTTGTAAGGGCGGAAGAACGGAGGAGGCAATGTCTTTGTTGGCTCAGATGTTTCACAGTGGCTTGAACCCAAATGTAGTCATACATAACATTCTTATAAATGTGCTATGCAAAAGAAATGAGCTGGAAGAAGCATTAACTTTTTACAAAGAAATTGGGAAAAGTGGGTGTCAACCAAACATCATCACGTATAGCACACTCATTGATGGTTTTTGCAAGGGCCAGAGAACAAAGGAGGCAATGTCTTTGTTAGAGGAGATGTATGACAATGGCTTGAACCCAAATGTTGTCACATATAACACTCTTAAAATGCATTGTGCAAAATGAATAAAGTGGAAGAAGCCTTGGCTTTGCAAAAAGAAATGGGGAGGAGAGGTTGTCAACATGATGTTGTCACATACAGCATACTCCTTGATGGCCTTTGCAAGGGTAAGAGAACAGAGGAGGCAATGTCTTTGTTAGAGGAGATGTATCAAAATGGCTTGAACCCAGATGTTGTCACGTATAACACTCTTATGAATGCACTATGCAAAAGAAATAAGGTAGGAAGTAGCCTTGGCTTTGCACAAAGAAATGGGAGGATAGGATGTCAAGCAAATGTTGCCACATATAACATACTCCTTGATGGTCTTTGCAAAGGTGGAAGAACAGAGGAGGCAATGTCTTTATTGGAGGAGATGTATCACAATGGCTTGAACCCAGATGTGGTTATGTATAATACTCTTATAAATATGCTATGCCAAAGAAATAAGGTGGAAGAAGCATTGAAATTTTACAGAGAAATGGGGCAAAGTTCGTGTCAACCAAATGATTTCCCCTATAATGCAGCGATCGATGGTTCTTTCAAGGGTGGCAGAACAAAGGAGGCCATATCTTTGTCGGATGAGATATATTGCAGCAGCTTGAACCCAGATGTTATCACATATAACACTCTTATGAATGCATTGTGCAAAACAAATAAGGTGGAAGAAGCCTTGGCATTGCACAAAGAAATGGGGAAGAGAGGATGTCAACCAGATGTTGTCACATATAACACACTGATCAATGGTCTTTGCAAGTGCGGTAGAACAGAGGAGGCAATTTCTTTAACATTTTGATCAAGCAAAGCCGATAAGGTGGAAGAAGCCTTGGATTTTCACAAAGAAATGGGGAAGATAGGGTGTCAACCAGATGTCGTCACGCATACTACCCTAACATATGGTCTTGGCAAGGATGGAAGAACAGAAGAGGCAATGGCATTGTTAGAGGAGATGTACCACAATGGCCTAAACCCAGATGTTGTCACTTATAACACTCTTGTAAATGCTTTATGTAAAAGAAATAAGGTGGAAGAAGCTTTGGCTTTGCACAAGGAAATGGGGAAGAGAGGATGTCAACCAGATGTTGTCACATATAACACAGTTATTGATGGTCTTTGCAAGGGCGGGAGAATGGAGGAGGCAATGTCTTGTTGGTGGAAATGTGTCAAAATGGCTTGAAGCCAGATATTGTTAACCATAGCACTCTTATAAACGTGCTATGCAAAAGAAATAAGGTGGAGGAAACCTTGGCTGTGCTTAAAGAAATGGGGAAGAGAGGATGTCAACTGGGTGTCGTCACGTATAGTACTCTAATAGCTGGTCTTTGCAAGGATGGGTGACTAGAAGACGCAATGCCTTTGCTAGAGGAGATGTGTGACAATCACTTGAACCCGAATGTCTTCACATTTAACATTATTGTCAATGGGCTCTGCAAAGCCCATAAGGTGGAATAGGCCTTGGCTTTGCCCAAAGAAAAGGGAAAGGTTGGGTGTCCACCAGTTGTCATCGCGTGTAGTACATTAGAGATTGTCTTTGTAAGGATGGGAGAACAGAAGAGGCAAGGCAATTGTTAGAAGAGATACAACATCCTAAACTCCAATGCACACATTACTCTCTTATAAATGTGCTATATAAAACCAATGGTGTGGAAGGAGCCTCGGGAATATGCAAACGAAATGGAAAGGTAAGGTTGTCACGCCTAATATTGTCACATATAATGCTCTCATGGATGATCTTTGCAAGGATGGAGAAATAGAGGAGGTGATGTTCTTTTCTGCAGGGGGATTAACTGTTATGGTCTAAATCCAAATGTTTCTGCATAGAGCTCTCTGATGAATGGCCCATGTGAATTCAGAAATGTGAAACAAGCCTTGATCTTATTCAAACTAATGCCGAAGTGATTTTTTATCCCGATATTACCGCATATAACATGCTCATAGATGGGTTCTACGGGATGCATAAAGGGGATGGAGCAATGAGCGTCTACACATACTTGATTGGCTAGGGGCTTGAGTGCTGCATCGGCATCCTCAATCAGATGCTCGTAAAACAATGAAAATAAAACTTCAATTCTGAGAGGGCCCCAGCTAAAACAATTGTTGATATATGCTAGGCGGACAGTTTGCTGTTTCCAACTTGTGGTTGTTTCACCATCCCGAACTATCTTCGGAAGATGGCTACAAATGGAAAACACTGAATATAGTCATCTGCAGGCTGCATCATAACTTGCCATAGCAAAAACTACAGTGGTTTGCACTTGTATTATGGGAAACCTGTCTTCTTTGTTGCTACCAAGGATATTGTTACTATGATTTCTTACACACATCACTCTAATAAATGTGCTATATAAAACCAATGGTGTGGAAGGAGCCTTGCAAATATGCAAAGAAATGGAAAGGTAATGTTATCCGCCTAATATTGTCACATAAAAGGCTCCCATGGATGATCTTTGCAAGGTTGGCGAAATAGAGGAGGTGATGTTCTTTTTTTTGGAGGGGGATGAACTTGAATGGTATAAATCCAAATGTTTCCACATTAAGCTCTCTGATGAATGGCCCATGTGAATCCAGAAATGTGAAACAAGCCTTGATCTTATTCAAATTAATGTGAAAGGTATTGTTTGTCCCGATATTACCGCATATAACATGCTCGTAGATGGGTTTTGCAGAATGCATTAAGGGGATGGAGCAATGTGCATCCACACAGAAATGATTGACTAGTGTTTTGAGTGAGATTCTACTACATGTGGTATCTTGATGAACGTGCTGACTAAAACTGGTGAGGTCGAGGCTGTAATAAGTCTTTTCTATGAAATGAAAAAGTTGACGCAAGTTCCCACTCAAGCTGCGTATACTGTATTCCTGAATGCATTGTGCAAAAATGGTGATTTAGAGGATGCCATGAGTTTGTTTCAAGCAAGGTTGTACTGATCGTGCAGTTGACTTGGACACGCTCGAGTAACTTGCACTCGCAGGATGCCTTGCGTGAGGACAACACAAACTTGGAGGTAAATCATCATCATCATCAAAGCTTTTTCCCAACTAAAACTTGGGGGTAAATAATGGACAAATTTTTATATTAACAACATTAGATTTATTTTATGATTGATTTAGTATTTATTAAATCTATTATAAATGACTTATGTTGGCTTTGTTTATCGTTTTTTAGGGTTTTATATTTTTTAAATATTTTTTAGATTTTCTAATTTTCTGAGAAACTGATCTTTAGACAAATTTCTTTTTCTTGTATACCTTTTTGAGAACTTATTCTCATCTTTTATATACATGTTCTGTTGCTTATCATTTTCTTTGTTTTTTTTGCTTTTTTCAAAATTTTAACAATTTTTCCTTTTTTTCCAACTCTGTTTTTTGCCGTTTTTGAGCTCAATGCCGAGCTGATTAAAAGAATATTTGTTTTCAAGTGATGAATGAAGGTTCAACTCCAATATCCTGATCAATGGGGCATGTTAAGCAAGGAAGCATCAAGTCGCAAGCTAATTCCTTAAGGATGTTATCCAAAGAGGTCTCATTCCTAATATGGAAACATATTCTGTTGTAATCGGTATGTTCTGCTAGTCAGGTTGAATGGATGAAGCGAAGGGATTGTTTGAAGGCTTGACTGTGAATGGTTATACACCAGATGCTATGATATGTGCATCGTTATTGAAGTGTTTCAGCTATGTAGGGCAGTTCTTAGTTCATGGGGTTACTCCATCAAATAGCATGTATCTGATGAGCAATTCGTATTTACAATGTCTTATGTCTAATGAATTTTGAAAGTGTATAGAATCACTTTCAAAATTTTCTTGAGCCAGAGAACTGACTAGTATCTCATGCAGTGATTTATTAAGGAGGCTCCAAAAGTTGCATCGCATAAAGGTGGCAATAAAGTTCAAACATGGCTGATAACTGCTGTAGCATGAATGAATTGCAATGGTGGATTGTTGTTCTTTACAAATTCGACTGAAATCTTCTTGTCTCCTCTTGATTTCTATTTAAATTATTATGATTCCAAATCTAGTTGCTTTTGATAGAGTAATACTTCTCAAAGGAGATTTTGTGGTAATAGTAGCCCTTGGTCTCTAAAAATGTGTGTTTAAATGGGGTCCACAAGATGTAAACGTGCAAAATGGTGGTATATCAGCTTTTAAAAAGATCTTCCTTTTTTATATAATTATTAGGTTTTCAAAGATTTCTTGGTCTTCATGAGAGCTTTGCATGTCTCTCTTTTAATGTATTTCAAAGGAACCTCATCCGCGACTTTCCTGCACCAATAGCAAAACCTTATCGACACCTACAACCCTCATGCCTCTCGGTCCAGCTTTTAGTCCCCTCCCCCTGTAGGCCAGACCAAATTAAATTCCGACGGATGTTCGCTCGAAAACCCAGGCCCAGCAGGGGTGGATGGAGTCTTCTGAGACCATCTCAGGAACATTCTCACCTCTTTTTCTAGGAACATTGGTCATCCCGACTCAGAACCAGCTGAGTCCACGACCTTCCTCTCCAGACTTAGGCCTTTCGACTTCGCTGAGGGTCAACCCCTGATCATCGAAGAGATGCTCAAAACATTATCATGGAGGCATACCTGGCCGGGAATCCAACGCCCTGGCAGACCAACTGGCTAAAGATGGAGAGCATTCCAGCATTATGTGACCCAGTGTGCCTTGGTTTTTTGTATATTGCTTTTCCTTTTTCTTATGCAAGGGTTTTTAGGTGCTTGCTCTAACCCATTTTTTGTAAAGGGATACCATCCTTGGTAAGTCTATTTTTTGGCAAGAGGCCCGGCCTGTGGGTTTTCATGTACTTACTCCTTATAATACAACAATTAACACTTATAAAAAAAATGTACTTAAAAGAAATTTTTGATGAGAGATATAGATGGAAACTCACTATCAAACTGTAGCATCTCTTGGTCACTTGTCTGAAAGCCTTCCATGATCCAGTGTGAACAACATGGATTGTTCTTAGATGCAGTGAACTTGGGTGTAACAGGTACCTGAGCATTACATTTCTTCCCCATTTGTGGTAATATTGCTATGATTTAGTTTTGATGAGCATCCTCCTTGTAATCGTCATCAGTCACTGATAAACCCCCCTGGTTCTCTCACAAGAGAGTATGAATCCAAACCCTTTATCTGACGATTTCTTTCTCTCACAGGTGACTAGGGCAATAAATTTTCTTCACTTTGTATGGCATTTTCACTACATAATACTTTTAAAAAGAATAATCCCTATTACTTTCCAAAATTAAAAAGAGAATACTCCAGATTATTTTCCTTCAGATGCTTACCTGGTCTTGTTTCAATTGAACAATGTGGCTCCAAATCCTTCCATTGTAAATGGCTGCTGCTCTAAACAGTAAAACCTTCCTCTATGATGGCTGTCATTGGCCTTCTCATAAGGATGCCCTAGTGCTGAAACCGACAATGCTGAAATCCTCTTTTGCCAATCATGTGCTTGCAATATCTAGTTCTCTCACCATGTCCTACTTGTTATCACAAAGTTAGAATTTTTTCAAAATAATTAGACATTATTTTGTGATAATTATTTTTCAATGCTCTACTTGAAAATAACTTCGGAAATAACAATTGTGAAATTATTTTCGAATAATTTCCTTCCCAAATATGTTTTCTGAAATCAGATTCTTATGAGTCAATAGTTCGAAAATTTGGACTTGGTATGTCTTTTAAAAGAAGATGACTATAATTGCTAATAACAAGGCAAATGCAGCTTGAGATGCACATTTGTGTGCTCGATCAGACATATGTGTGATGCATGCATATGTTATTGGGAGTTTTGTGATACAGAAAGGAACTAAGAAGAGATGTGCAGAAATCAACCAAGAAAAAAGAAAAATAAAGATGGCCATGAATCTAGTACAATGACAGCTTGTTCGAAGACTCCAAAAGGTAACGAAGGGATAACTACTAATGAAACTTGGTACAACATGGATGCACTTATTGTTCTTTGTGCATGTTGATACACTATGGAGACGGCTTACACCTTATTCACCTTTCTTCTAAAAGTATCATAGTAAAAGTACTTAATACTGCCCCTTACTTTATATAAAATTTTTCCTTCTTTTAATGGTACATGCTAGTAAAAATTACTTAGTGCCATTGAATGTTACACCTCCTCTTCTTTGAATGATGTATGGAAATGTGTCTGAACGACTTTTTATGAATTTGATATTTTTTAGAGAAAATTATAGATACTCCAAAATGAATTTTGTAAAAATTCTACCCTTAAGACTTTTAGTAACGCACTCTAAACCCAGTTACCGTTTTTTCTTGCTTTTTCCCCAATCAAAAAGTAAATCATTTACATACTAAACGCCATTCCTCGATCTCTCTCTCTCTGTCTCTCTACCCCCTCTCTCTCTCTC